TCTGTTGGTAATAGATAATTCACTTTAATTATGTGCTAGCACTGTTGCATAATACCTTTTAACATATTTCCTTTTTAGGAAATTCTATCTTAAGAATGCATTAGAGGGTGTTTTATTATTACATAATGTAAAAATTTAAAAAGGTTTTTCTAGAGACATTTTACTAAACAATTTTTAGAATTAAATTACCTAGGGATTTTATCTTACATGAATAGAACTTTGGTGCATAATTGAATTTGTTCAGTTTCTCTGGTTTTTAGTTCTGGAGGTTATATTTGCTTTTTTTTAAGTATATAAACCAGATTCCCATTTTTTTCCTGTGTTTTAAATAGAACATATAATTTGGAATATTTGAATTTTGCCTATTTGAAAGACTTCAGTAACAAATTTGTTACAGCTGAGAACATTAAAGGAAGAATAGTTTTTTGATAGCATTCTTGCTTTCTTTTCACATTATTTGTGAGTTTTCTTTTTATCATGCAAGTTTCTGTAACTATATGTTTTGGGAAACATGTTAAGTTATTTTAAAATTAGGTTAGTGAACAGGTATGCTAACAATGCTATATCCCTAATTTTATATAATTTTATTTGTTTTCAGTTGGAATCTTTAAGGTTTTTTTTTAATCTCATAAGTTGGTATTTAATAGGAAAGCTGAATACCTCAAATTTTTCTTTTTTTGAATCAATGCTGTTACTACTTTTTTGTAATAAGAATTAGCATAAAATATGCTGTTGAAACATGATTGGGGAAACATTGGAAGAAAATTCATAGCTATTCTGAGGCCCTGTCTCAAGACTGGAATTTTCTTTGTGATACTATGTTTTCAAAAGTACTATGAATGCTTGAACATTCTGAACTCCCTATTTCTCCATCACCCAGTCCCATATTTGCTAAAAAGTACCCTGAACCTCATAAAAGTATCCCCTCTCTCTACTTAAATATGCAAACACTTAACTTATAGTTTTAGTAATTATACAGTGACTTCATAAAGGAGAGCATAAGAATTAGACCTAAAAATGCCAAATTGAACATTGGTAAAAAGAGCCACCTTGTGTGGGTGGCTAATTGAATGGCTTTGTCCCTTATTTTTGGCTGTTCTTTGAAAGTAACTATCACTGGTACCAGAGAGAGAAATTTTGTGTGTGGCATTGGTGGTGCAGAATGCCATTTACACTTCCATAGTTTAACTCAAGTTGGATATTCAGCTCCTCCTCTTTTCTCACTGCCAGTGGATAGATGAGGAAAATGGTTTTTTGTTTTTGTTTTATGTACCTAGTCATTATAATTTTTTCTGGCATTGTACCAGCCCTTTTAAAATAATATTTATCATTTAATCACTCAGTAATTTCAGGGAGCAATTTATTGTTACTTTCTTATTTTACAAACAAGGGAACTAAATATAAGTTATATGTCTATATGTTATACAGCTGGGAAATGACAAAGCAGAATTTACACCTAAGCAGTCTAACTCCCTAGACTGACCTCTTCAACAGTCCCTTATAGTACCTATTAATATAATTTAAGGCTCCAAGAATTCAAAAATAAATCTATTATGTGTTTTATAATTAGATAACCTGGTATGACCCTGCTCTGTCTACATGGTAAGCTGGAACAAAGATGGTGCATAGTAAGTTCTTTGCTAGCATCAGATCTTGGATCCACTTCAGTATCCATTACCCATTCATAATATACAATGCTTAGAAGTTTGCCTTCCTCAGAAGACCAGACTTAAGAA